AGTGCGGTTTCCATTACTTTTTCAAAGAATCATTTTGACCGCTTTTGGCAATTGTTGCACTAACTCCCACAGGGTCGATGGTGAATTTGTCTCCTGGGAGGCCATTGAGTGATGCAGCAAATGGAACCACTGAAGTCATGGTCTTCTCGAAAAAATCATGAAATGTTCCCTTATGTCAGTTGCGAGCTGACAGCTCGGTAAAGAAACTTTCGATCCAAACTCAGCATATCGCAGTTTGTCCTGTTCCCAAGCTGCTCTCCTGAACCGCAGTGGTTTCTCCCCTAGTCCTACTGACTGACACTCTGAACAAACGGGATTTCAAATGAGACATGTCCCGATCCATTATGTGCCTCTTTCAAAAGTCCTGCCATCTTCAACGGGGCTTTTTTGCCAATTACCAAACGGCGAAACCAATGGGCGGTGACCAATGTGGAATCGTCCTCGGTCTTCCGGGTGCGCTTTTCGATTAACCGCTATTTGCAGCCGTCCAGACCTTTGGTCGAGTATTTTCAATCGTTTTCAAAGTATTTGTTGAGCTATCGACCATGTTGAAAGGCACATTGACTATATCTCGAGCTGTGAGTCAGTCTTACTCGTTCTGAGAAAAATTGGCTTTTCTCAAAACTTGATAATCCGCTCGCATAAAGACTCAGTTCGCGAACGAATTGGTTCCTTACCGGACTTTGGAGATAAGTTGGCCGTCAGAGAGGAAAGGGCGGTAGGTGAGGGCAATATGTGACGCTGTCATGACATCAAAAAACGGTCCGATAAAGACCCAGTTAGGTCATTCAAAGCCTGGTTTGCGTTTGAATTGCCTCTGAGACTTCTCCCTAGGAAGAAACTACCACCGACTCCCAAGACAGCCTGGGAAATGCTGTCGGATCAAAAAACGGCTCAAACAGGGCGTAATAAGGCCCCAAAACCGGCTTAGCCAACGACCATACGCAAGGCGGACATATTCTTAAGCTTTGTGAAAGCTGTAGAGTTTGCACCATTCGCACCGGCAGCCAGCCGTATGCAATTGCGCGCACATTTGAACAACTCGTCCAAATAGCCCTTCCATGTAACTTCTGCCCTCACACTCTCGCCCAACCAGAAATATTTTCGAGCAACCTTTTTTTTGTACCTGATAAGATTGGTTTTATTTGCACCTCACTTGATCTGCCACTTCTTTTGAAAGTAAATCTTCCCTCACTAGTAAAGCTTCCTAGCTCTGCTCGTAATTAAGCTCCACCTAGCTACAAGTTCCACAAAGTCCTCCGCCCGACTTTGAACCTACGTAGGAGTTGCACAAATGTCATTTCTACACTGAGCACAGATGGGAGCAGAGGTATGTAAAACACATCACTATCCCACCCAAGAGTGTTTGTTGAAGCAGCCATCTACCCCAAGAAACCACTTTTTCTTACGAAAATTAATCACTCAGAAGAGGCCTTGGATTACATGATTAGGCGCTCTGATTAGCCTTTTGTCCCACTTGTTGGATTCCGAGCCGATTTTTACCTTGTGACGCATTTCATGTTGTTTGGTCAACTTCGAAGTATTCCAATTTCAATGAAAACTAAGCCATAATCCCATCCATCGCCCAGGCGCCGCACCCATCTAACTCTTGGTATATTCAACGGCAGTCGGTGAATTCAAAGAATAGCTCCAGCACCTTTCCAGCAGTCATTTCCATTTAGTAGCCCATCAAATCTTAAAATTTCCGTTGTTGGTCTTTTATGACCGTCAAATGGCTGTCAGCTTATGGCTTTCCCATGCATAACCGACATATACGACTCTGAATCAGTCAGTTGACAGCCGTCATGTCTGCTTGGATTTTCTCTCAGTCGGCTTGAAGGCATTCAAGCAAATCAGCGACTTTTGTCTTTCTTCAGACTTGCTCCAGTGCCATCAGAGCTTCTGAGAAGCTGCTACTTAAGCGGGTAGGGCTACGGTCGCTGACTTTTGGTTCGAATGTTTGAATTCTCCTAATCCCAATTACGCTCTAAGGATGTATTGGCTTTAGGGTTGGCAGGAGACCTAGGCTAGTACCCGATCGCAACTATTCTACGTGGGCTACTACTCTTCACCAGAGTCAAATGCTCTCTTTGATCGTAACCAATATTTGAACTGATTTTTTCTTTGATACTTTGCTTATTACCCCTCCTAGCCAGGTAGATTCCTACTTTGAACCTCTTCCAAGACTTTTAAGTCCTTATTAGTCTAGGGCCATCATTCCGTGACGACTGGGTGCAAACTTACATAGTACGTGAATGAAATGAAATATAATGAGGGTGGGAAGAAAGTGGGTGGCATTCGAGTCAAGCCCGTAAGTAAAACATCCTGAAGACAAAGCTGAAACCTGAGACTAAATCCAGAACGAAATAGAGAAAGTCTAGGCAGCAAAGAAGGCAAGGATTTGCTTGCCCGAGGCTCACTTAGGCTGCGACTCCGAATAGACAGCCGTCGCTCAGGTTGATTCCCTCGTCTAAAAGCATGGGGATCACGACAACAGACTTTTCCTGCTTGAATGATTTCATCTCGCCCCAGTCACTTTATGGGACGAAAGCAATGATTCACCCAGTAACCATGCATCATGAATTGACGAATTTCGTAAGCAGCAGCGCTTTCTTTACCCTGCCAGCATTTTCCTAACACAAAGTCTTTTTAAAGTTTCCATATTGTAATTTGTTGAAAGCTCGACTGCAGGGTATTCATCAAATCAAACAGCCTCATTTTACAGGACATAAACACATCGGAAAATCCCAATTGAAGCTCTATTTACCAACCTGATTAGAACGGGAGGAGCATACATTTATAGTGTCCTTTGTTGATGATGAATCCCATTATTTCTGAAAAGCACAATTCACCATTGAATTGTTTCTGAGATTTCTCCCTGTGACCCACAAGGATAGCATAAGAGACGCTAACACGTCGATAACCGACCAAGATAGGGTATCATAAGGGCCCAAAACCGGCTCAATCTATACAGACATCCGAAGGGGGCGAGTTCTGTCGGGGCTGTGGAGGCTGTAGAGGTTGCGTCATTATCACCGGAACGGACATGTTTCACGCAGATAGCTCATCGTAGCCAGCTGAGAGCACCCGCAAGTCTGGACAACTCGTCCAATTACCCTTTCCATGGTACATTTGTCGTTACATTCTCGTCCAACCCTAAATTAGCTACTTTTGTAGACCCCATATTCCTTCAAAATCGCTGATTTTGATTCTTCTTTGCCTCTTTTGTGCTATTCTGAACTCTCATTTGGCATTCGGATGCATATTGGTCTACAGTAGCCAGCCCATATACAATTCGGAACTATTGCCATCCCAGACCTACAGTAGCCAGCCCATATACTATTCAGAACTATTACCCTCCCAGGCGAGTTTTAGACCAGTTAGTCGACTCCGGAGAATGGAGGAATTGGTTTGTCTGGGTGGATATAAATATGTACAGTATTCAATCCCCATGCACCATGAATATGATGGTGCGCGTAGTAATACCACATTACCTCCTCTTGTATTCACCATGTCCAATCAATCACATAATCGCTTGCTATATCACTAGCTGATCAATGACAGTCGGAAATTCCGCCTAATTTGATGAGTTTATTGTGGGCAAACCATCGAAAAGTTGTAAACATAAAAAAGCTTTCACCTCACGTTGCAATTTCCACGTTCAGTCTTCTTATAACCTGGGCATGTCACATAATATGTCACAACGCTTTGGCGTACGAGTTTGGTATGATGGAAGCATTTATTAGGTCGACGTTTCGATGAACTCGTCGTCTTCAGAAACGTGAAAGTAGCTCGAAGCTCCTGATCTGTGGCTTACCCGACCAAGCACCCAAACGCGCTAGGCCAGTTGCAACAACACCCAGAAACTTGAATGCCGAAACATCCCAGTGAAGAAACGAACCTTTGCGGTTCTACCAGCGTTGTCGTCCCACTCTGTCTCATGAACAAGAAGGGACCAATGAATGAGACACCATTGACTGGCAATCGAAAGTCACCACAAGATCTAGATCGATCGAAGCTAGATGCTTCGCTCGTCATTTATCACCTCTGTGAAACCTAAAATTTTCCAACCCAGATGGGTAAGGTGCGGAGACCAGAGCAAATCTACAAATTCACTAGTAAATTTATTCTGTTCAAATCTGATTTTTATTCATTTTGTGTCGTCTCAGGATTATTACAACAGTTGCGATGACAGAGACACTGACGTAACCCATTTACTAAGCCTATGAGCCCGAACCAGTGACAAAGTCCCGAGGTATCACCCAAGCCACGTGCTACCCTCATCTTTAGCGATATGTTTATCACCGCTTGGTAACATTCATGAGTTGCGTTTAACTCTATTTGCTTCCCTACTCTTCTCCCATACCTTCACCAAAAAAATCCTGACAATCATAATGAACTACGGAGGGTTGCTCGTTCTTCTCTCGGTGTTCTTTAGCTGGTACATCCTCTTCCAGTACAACGACGTTGTCATATTTGCTTTCCTGCTCTTTGATGTTTGTTTTTTTTTTCATTTGAAATGCAACAGTTTACATCTCCGTCACATGAGATGCTTCAAGTAGTAAATATAAATCTAAATGCAAATATACCTCGGTGAGCCGCTTCCGAGTCGTTCAAAAACTGTCCGGTCCACATTTTGAACCTTACCGATTGCACGACGGAAGCGCTTTTAATATTTTGAACCTTACCAATCGGTCGATGAGAGGCACTTTCACAAAGTACATCTAATCTCCCAAAGCTCGTCACATCATCGTCACCGTCACCAACGAGAGGACATTGTTTTCACAACCACTTTCTTTTACAGCGCGCCTGTTTCATTCTGACATTCTGCTGATTCCTATGTTGTTTTTTGAGACACAGCATGTAATCGATTGAATTGAGTAAACTTCTCTTTCATCATCATTTTCTTTAACGATCATATTCTTTGCCGTTTCCTATCGTTTTCCCAGGAACTTTTTCTTTTTTTTTTCATTTTTTTTTCAATTAGCATACTTTCAGGTATGAACCAATTAGCTGTTTTGCTATGTATCGTTGTGGCACAATGTGTAGCTAAGAAAAATGTGACAACAGATGTGGTGAGTTAGTCATATTTTGGAGTGAGACATTAGGTCCAATATAGATTCGAAAAAAGTGACACTGTGAAGTGGCTAACCCCTTTACACCCTGTTATTAGGAGTTACTTATTACACTTTTAAATCATCTATGCTTTGAGCATCTTGAATTTCATTGAGCATGTGCAAAGAACAGCCAAGGGGAACGTTTATAGCTTAAAATCGCTGCTTTTACTCCGAAACAAATTTCCTGATCGTATTGCATAATAGACTTCGGAGTGCATTCGCACACCCAATCAATCCCTGGCTATATTGGGTTACTAAAAAATTATCAACCTAATTCTAAAGTATTTTTATTCATAAGCGTGAAGTTATAGCGGCAAGTGGCTCACCATCATACAACGCATGGTCACGGGTTCAAATTCCGGATCGATATCTACCTGGGCCATCCAATCCCTGTATCCCTCACAGGCCGGTTTATTGGTAATAGGCTGGTCTGGGGGGAGAAAAGCACTGACATGTACATTGGCTGGCCACTGCAAGTCATTGAATAGATCACACGCACATTCAAATCGCCACTACGATTTTGAATGGAAGTTGAATGCTAGGGCGCATCTCTGAAGCGGACTGATCGACGGCATAATACTATCCTTTTCGTCCTTCTTTTTTATTGATAAAAATCCTCTTTCGCTTCACCTAGAGAAAACATCCGTCTCCACTAAACCTATAAGAACGTCCGTTGAAATTTTTAACACTTTCGTCATACTACGTTTACACTACGAGGAAGGATGGACGGCAGCAAAGTTATTACAGCCATTCCCAGTCATAGTAATCATTTCTTCGGCGAAAGAGCAACCAATGGAAGACATAATCGGTTATGGTTAGCATGGTTGAAATCAGATGAATCCAGTTTGGGCAACAATTTACACAGGAAGGGGTCAATCATCAGATTCCGACGATCTGGAAATTATGGAATTCCTAGATGAGTATGAAAGCATGGCAACACAGATGCTCTGACGCCGACCTACCAGTGATTGTCCGTCGTCTTAAAAAAGCTTATTAAAGCGCGAAAATTGGCTGAACAGGTCTGCAACGGACTCTGCGACATCAATAAAGTCGACTGAGCCCTAATTTCTACGTCTTTGTTGCATTGGGACAGATCCCACTCCAAGTGGTCGACGAACAGACCCCAATCCTGAAAGATCTCGTCACTGGAGATGATTTGTAGTTCTTCGGTGAATCACAAGAAAAAGGGTTTCGTTTCGGCGAGTGGAACACCACCGGAAGATGTTCCCATCAAGAAAGTAGAAGGTTAGGCAAGAAAAATGACCCGCTCCAGACAAATAGGACGCACAGCAATACAATATCAACAGCGGTGTTTATCCGGTTCAGCTGATCGCCTCCACGCTGCAATTTTCTTGAAAGGCCCGCAAAAGAACATAGGAATTGCCTTTCATCACGACAATGCACATCCTCACAATGAACGTCGTGTTGTTGAATTCATGGCTAATAAGTCATGGGAGCTGCTTGCTCATCCTCCATGCATTCCCGCAGAAGGGTATACAAGCTAGAATACCAATCGCTAGCTAAAAAATTGGCAAGCAAACAGAGCTTACAAGGGTTTTGACGAGCTGACGAACGACTTCAAGGCCTGGATTGCCTTTAAAAACAGAAGCTTTTTTGCTCTACTGTTGGGATCGACTGTTTGCTAATCAAATGGGAAGTATTTATTGAAGAGGAGGTGTTTATACTCCGCGATTAATGGTTGAACACATCCGCGCCTTTGAGGCGCTGCTCCTGCCTTCACCGCTGAAGGCCTTCTATAACAAGAAATGTGGAAACCTGAATGAAATCCGAATCCGGACACCTCTACAGAGGTCTAGTTGCTACCTCCATTCCAAAGACGTTTTTTTGTTCTACATTTCATTCAGGGGTCAAAGGAACATTTAATTTTTTCCTCTCTGAAACTATGGAAAAGTAAAGGTGCAGCGAAGTGCTCGGGACCCTATGCCATCACTGCTAAGGCCATGTGGGTTAATTGACTCTAGGCGGACCTTTTTACCAATATGGTACTCAATAATGTTCGATCGAGGGCATTCAGGATTATTTCAGGTAGCGTTAGACTACCGTCAATCAGTATTAATGATTGCTGATTGTTAGCAATTATTGTTACCACCACTATCAACGAACAAAACATCACAGGCCTCAATTGAACACTACGGGTGGCGGTACTTCTCCACGCAGTCCCACGGCAAGCGGCAGTGGTTCCGCCGCTTTTACCCTATCCTTTGACTGGGAATTCAAACCTCTCTCATTAAAGCGCTACTGCGCGTCGGGTACGGCACGACGGAGAAGTTCCACACCCGGACACTGGCAAACATTATCGGTGGGCAGGTCAGAAAAAAAGAGGCGATATGACTCGAGTATTTCGAGTATGGCGTGCTCCCTGTAAATACCCGCAAACCTTTGCCTGCTGGTGCCTTACTCTCGGGAGGGATCTGGGACCCTAACGGCTTGTCGTTCCTGATTGTGCACGGTCGCACTTATGAAGGGGGATATTGGATTTTCGGTGGAAGAATACTGTAATCGCACCATTGCAGCTGGAGGAAAGGGTAGAAGTACTTCCATCTTTCACTCTAAGCATTTTGATCACAAACGATTTTCATGAACCAGAACCCTTAACAATACTGTATGAACACGTCTCCAAGCATATTCGATATGAGTAGCATTAATTACGTTCTAGATCCGAAGACTTCATCCATCTTTTCAGCCATTGTTCTGTGAGGAATATGCCAATTGTCTGGCAAAAGCCAATCAGAAATCGGCCGAATGTCTAGAGGAGAACACCACTGCGATCATTCAAAACGGCAGGAAACGATGTGCAGGTGCTGCCGACCTCCATGCTCAACTACAAGCGCTTTACGATGAGGTACTAATTTCTGTTTATATCATTAATTGCTGTTCTGGAGAATTTCATATGAAATTACTACCTACCTTCGCGATTGCATACAAGGCCTTTACGGGCACCTTGCTCAAAAAATATTGCATAAGCAATACTACGAAAGAGGCCGTTAAAAGCTTTCTTGTCCTTCAGAAGAGCTTCAAGCTGTAGAAGTTTTCAGACTTCTCTCTCAAGCACGTTGCTCCACCCAAACGGGCCATTTCATCCCGTCGTGGGAATGTGCGCGACTTTCCCACCTAAAAACTACTCGATGATCCCGTCCAATGGAAATCATTTCGTGAATTTTTGATCGCATTAGTCGAGGGACGTGGCACTTGCAGTTGGCTTTACTTTACAAGCAAATCCGGTTATTTGCCCAAAAGCTCACCCAAAGACGATGTCAAACGCAGGTTTCAGGGAAGAATTGAAAATAACGAGAGGCCACTTAGGCCGATTTTGGGAGAATGACTGAGCTGACCTAAGGAGCCGATTTTAAGAGCATTCTTCGCAAACGCTTGCCAGCTGGTGACCAGTAAAAGATAGGATGTATAGGTGTCGGAGTATACATAGCCCCCCCCCCNCCCGGGAAACAGCAGAATAAGACCCTTATTTCGATGATACCTCTATAGGGTGAGGATCAGGGAAAGGAAGAAGGATGGAAATGCGAGTTCCAAGATGACTTGTTGCCTTAATCTCCCACAGAATCTAAAATTCCACTCATTTCCGCTCAAAAAATGCAAACCTAAACAATTACTTCTGGGAAAGTCGCAATCCCTGTTTTACCCTACTATATCATTCCCAGGTCCTCACCATTCCTTTATCCTGAACACCTTTCGATAGGTTGTATGCAAAACCTGGTCCAAAATGAAGTTTGGCTTTGAGATTGCTCAGAAAGAATAGCCTACAGCCGTTATTCAAAGTCCGAAAAAACTTCCAAAATATTCTTCCGTTTACGAATTGAAAGCCAAGAAAAGGTCTGATAACGATCTTATTGCAGAGAAACGCGGAAGTGGAGACGTGTGTCCGTGAGCAAGCCGAAAGTGAATCCGTATTCTCTCAACGGAAAATTGACAAGTGCAAATTGGCTCTCAAAAAGGTGGGACAGTCACTTATTCTTGAGAACATGACATCTTCGATTCACTCAATCAAACTATAATAGAGAATTCGGGTAATATTCGCCTAGAATAATTGTTTTACCACTTGGAAGGTAGTAAAAGAGCAAAAAGAGTAGCTTACGGAGCTTATGAGAAGGTGTGGACGGAATGATACAAAAACACGGCCGTTGTTCAGTGTTCCCTGAGAATCGTTCCGGACTTCACCATAACTCAATCGTGGGTTTCTGGGAACTCTGAAAAATCTTCAGGCACTCAAACATCCTCGGAATCTTTCTAGAATGACCAAAAGAAATGGCCTGAAACTGATCCTGAACAGTCTGTCCGTAGTGAAAAGTCGAACCCGCTCACGTCCTTTGTTATCTGCTGCAGCCACTACTCTCATGTCATCATCGAAAATATCTGCGTTGGACTTCTGTCACACTCAAATCATGGTTCAAGTTCGCTTACCAGTACATACTATGGTTCTAACAATAACATTAGAGGTAATGCCGTCGATAAGTCTTAGCGATTGGGAGTTTGGGCGAGTACTCACTGAAATCTGGATGAGGTNGACCTAAATCTACTTATCTTGTGGTGGGATAACGAAAATCACTATTAGCTTTTCTTTCTTAAAGGCACAGTTCACGATAAAAATGATTTCTTAGATCCCCCCGACAGGATGAGTTTGAGGCCCCCGCGTATACCATATCTCGCATTATTAGGTCGGAAAACGGCTTAGTTTGGGGAGTTATAGAGGCTTAAAGATTGGCCCGTGTGTTTCCTTGGACGAGTTTCACCGGTATTGCAAAGGCTGCATCGATCACAAGGGAACCATGTAGGAAGTTCAAACAGCTTGTCATGACCCATAGTGACAGTTAAGGACGGTTTTGTACAGTTCTCGCTCGATGTAGTCAGTTTTTTGTGCAATTGCAATAACTGAAATCACGTCCGAATACCCCTTCCATGTGTTATTTCCGCCATGGCCATCTCGTCCAACTTCTATTTTCCCTACTTTTGAGGAGCCACATTTTTCTCAGAATCGGCGATTTCTTTCACTATCTTCACTACCGATGAACTATTCCCAATCTATACTTACACTTTTCGAAAAAAAAACGGGTACCTAAAAATTATCGTAAACTGTGCCTTTAAAGACTCTGAAAACATTTCCTTTGTTTTCTCTTGTAGGTCCGTTTAACCAGAGCTCCTATTAAAGAGGTTGACCTCGGCTACCTCGCACCTCGGATAGAACTGATTTACTTTACTCAATTTCCCCCATTTCGGTCACTCCTTCAACAATTCTTTCCGAGGGATCTATAAACTCCGATTAATCTGTATTAGGATATGGAGTTATGTTATCACTATTTCAGTCGAAACGCTCAGTTGATCCACTGGAGCGCAGAATGAAGCGTAAGGATAGAACGAAGGAACGAAAGGAGAAGCCGAAAAGTTGCACGAAAGAAGCGAAAAAAATGCGCATGCAATGTGCAAAAATTGCGAAGTGTTGTAGTGCGGTGAAAAGGTGAGTGCCTGTGGCAGCCACCTACTCTTTTCTTATTTCATCAACGAAAAAAAATGAAAACCTCGTTTTTCAGCTGCCAAGATAGTGCTGTACAGAAGAAAGAAATACTTGAAAAAAAGAAGCAGTTGAAAGGGCTTTATCATGCCTGCCATGCCGATATACTAAAGGTTCTTTTCGATTTAAAAAAAAAAAGCTTTGCTTTCAAGAGAATAAGCTTCGCATTCCTATAGTATCGTGGATATATAAAAATCAATCAGTTCATGCTTCTCCCACACATTCACTACACTTTCGCGGACGGACTTCCAGAGTAATCTTATCGGACAAGGAAACATAGAACCCCGATTTTCCTTTACCCGATGAGGTTCTGAAGGAAACAGCTCAAAGCTTCGCGATTCCATACATTCGTGAAATCCTAACTTTTGTTGAAATAGCTACCTATCTGGGACCCCAGGCCCTCTAACACTAGGCGACAGAGCGTACACTAAAGGATAAAGGATAACGGATAAAGTGTTTGGCGTTAACCAATCCTGTCTGAAGGATGCGTCCTGCATTCGACTTCCATTCAGAATCATAGTGGCGTAATAAGTGCGTATGGGGCCTATACAATGTCTTGTGGTGGCCAGCCGATGTACAAGTCAGTGCTTTTATCCTCCCAGACGAGTCTGGTACCAATTAATCGACCCCGGTAGAATGGAAGGCTTGCTTGGCCTAGGAGGATATCGATCCAGGATTCGAACCCCTTGCCGTGCGGGTGAGATAGTGCGCCACTTGTCACTACACCACCTCCGCCCGAGCGTACAAAACTGCCAAAAAAGTTCACATTCCACAGGATCCATTACAATTTTGTAAAGGGTCTACTTAGGTCTTTTTCTTGACAGCTAGTGAACCAAATAAGCGGTCACTGAATCTGGTTTTTGCCTCATTTCGCACGGGGGTGGGGTCACGTAGTAATACACTCCCTCGATTTTCCATGTGACATGTGCATGCTCCTAGCTGCGTCATAGGAATGCAAGACTTCCCATGAGCTATGACCCCACTAGCTTTCCTCCCGAAAGCACCCTGCACTCGGAAATTCTCAGATTTCAAAGGTTTCTAAACCGCCATTGAACTTGCTGGTAGAGCCTGTCCTGAAACGGTCAAAAAACTTTCCCTTCCATGAATTTTGCAATTTCCGCACCGTCTTCGTAGGTGGAAACCGTTTCCAACCCATACATTATGCATTCTATCCACTCCACCCAAAATTTGAAATAATTACGATTTTGAAGGTGCTTGGTGAGATTATTTTATAATTTGACGTCAATTATCCTGATATGAGAATTTCACAAAATCGGAATCAATAAGTCAGAAAACTTGCGAGTTGTTTACATTCCACTAACAACCTTTTTGAGTCTGTTCATTGAAAGAATTTAGAAAAAGCTCAATCGAAAACAAAATGGCGACAAAAAAGAAGCAGAAGCAAAGGTCAATGACGTTGAAGACAAGAAAACCACCAAAGTGGTGAAGAAGAGAAGTCGACTAAATGAGAAAGTTGAAGAGTCGCAAGAGCGGAAACGCAGAGCTCCAATTCAGACAAAGGTTTTACAAGAGGTCAGTGAGCAACATAAATAAGTTTTCAGTAAGTAGCAACGATGCTCTGCCCAAGTCCCATCAATTTAGAGTAGTCAAATTTGGAATTGATGTGTATGTCAGTCCATTCCCTTCGGAAAAAGCATTGACGGCTGTATATTACATTGGACAGCCCCGTCAGTTGTCCTTATATTCAGCCGTAGGAGCTTTAGTTTTTGAAGTGTTTATGATAAAAAAGCTCAGACTTTGTGGGTGGCAGTCGTAGGTTCAGGTAGGACCTTCGAAAACTTCATTCGGACTCTTTCTGCCATTTACATAATTGAGTAGACTCCATTCGAAATTGAAATTGTCTAACAATAAGGTAACCAAAAAGCCGAGAGGGAAGATGGTCCCGACACCACTTCATCAGAGAAACCCTTGGTACATCCCAAATTAGCCTCAAATTTCCCAAAGATTTACACTTCCTGGACCGATGAATCTTAGTGTATGCACCATTTGAATTGTTCTTTTTCCTGGGAATATGGAATTCCTCCACTGTTAGCTATTCTGTTCATTTTTCCTAGCTTATCGATAAGTGGGAGAAAATCCAATTGCGCTCGAGCCCAATATGGAAATTTTCCCAGATGAAATACTGATTGACAGCCAACGTCAAATAACATCTGCTATCGATATTACGGTTCAATTTCAGCTTTCCTCTAGCGAGGTCTGATCGTCCATGTCGTAATGATTCCATTTGAAGATTGTGCTGCTACTTCGCTTAATGTTCTTTGTGTTGTAAATAGTATTGCTCTTATAGCATTCAATTGTGAGGTTTTTTTTGTTTAATAAATTATTTTCTCGATGATCGACTTCCCTACACATTTTACAGCGATGCTCCTATGCATTACTGTTGAACATCATCCCAGTCGGCCTATTATCTTTTGTGCAAAATGCTCTCATTCCAGCAAAGTCGCAATGGCCATGTATTCTCAGAAATTCAGCAGAATCTGTCACTTAGGAGTTCGACTTTCCATGAATCGAACTACTACCAACCCAATCACGATCTGACGATCCTTGTTTCTCCCAACTTCTTTGAAATCCACAATCGAAATTTTTCAGAGCGACCGGTAATGCGAAATGGAAGACCGTATGCTAATAATCCCAAACAGCGGTGGGGTCGGTGAAGGTCTACTACCAACTGTTCAAGCGTCGATCTGACTGGAAGCCCACTTTTTTCCAGGGAAGTTTGTCATCTGAGTTATCATCTCACCTAACAGACAATAAGGATATCGCTAGCATTAGCTCCATCGCGTCGTTCATCAACTGAAGGAGGATCAAGTCCTGATCAACTTTTTCATGACAATATTAGACTCCATAATATTAAAAGGAACCAAGAAAACTTCAATATGCCCAGGTAATCACTTCCATCTCATAAAACATCCATGACTTCGCACTAGAGAATCAAAACGCAATCCGCTCTCAAACATAAAAGGATCAAGTACAGGAACGTTACATTGCAATGCGTCGCTAACCATCGACAGCCCATTCCAAGTATACCCAATGGTCTGATACAAAGTGAAGTAGAAGGGTCTAAAACCTTCTAGGGGCCCTGTCATATGATAGTAGAGCCCATTCCTCTTCTGCCATGAACTTTTGCTGTCTCAAACAGTTTGCGCAAACAATTTCACTTTGAGCATCTTGTAATGTTTAATCCCGTAAAAACGAAACAAAGCCATCACGAATAAAAAACGAATGGGTGGACAACTTGAAAAGTCCTCCAGAGTAAAAAAGACATTTAAAAAACTGGTGAACTGAAAACTTGCAAGGTTAAAACACTCTATGGACACTATTTTGTAGAAGGGGGTTAGTCCAAAAAGCACCGGAGATAATTACATATTTTCTGGAGTATATCACAGCAAATTCCAATGCTGTTAGTCATAATCTTGACTAGGACGACTGGCGAGATTTGTGGTGATGCGTTACGCTACAAGACAGTTGATCTAATCTTTTTGAATAAAGTTTTTAATAAAGTCCGCTACTACTGACGAGAGCTCATCGTCTAGAAATATTCAACAGCACGTGAGTATTTTGGTAGATAGTCACAAAAATGTTAACAGCATAACAATAAAACAATTAAAAACAGCTATTCAATGAAGTATACACATGAATGCTACAAAATATACGGTATTACTGCCTTTCGACTAGTTGGATACGCTTTGAAAGTCCGCCGATACCATCGGTGAGTGATTTGCCCAGCGAATATTTGATTGACAAAGACAAATATAGCAAGGAACTGAAAATAAGCTGCTTAGTGATGATATAAAGTAAGCATGAATTATAACCATTACGGACTAGTGCATTTTTTCAAGGTGAGCCAAACATTTACTTCCAGTAGGAGCAATTATTACGTAGATACGATTCATGCAACTGACTTTTGAGGATCTGCCAGAAATCATAGTATACCTTTCTAATAATCGTCCAAGGTCAATGTGTACCGACGGTTGGTACCGGACTGAAAGGAGAGGAAAACTTTGTTGGCTAGAGCGAACAAAGACAAAAGGGATAATCAGCCAACAAAGTTTTCCTGGTAACATTTGCACGCTATTAGTTTCGTGATCTTGCGCTTCTTCACCAAATTGGCAATATGGCAGTTTTTCTTGTGACTTCGGACCTCATGGCGACCCACGCTGTGAGGTAATGGCCCATGAGCTCGGAACCTTCTACAATATGCATCCACCGCTGCACTTATTGCTTCCAAAATTCAAACCGAGCAAATTCCTGTCACTTTTTATAAACGTTTGAATGGAAAGGACACGATGGAAACACAGAGTTCAAGAGGAGACAAAGTGAGGAGTCTATCCTCCGCAAGGTCTCAAGCGAAATTCGCACAGCGCAAAGATGACACCCCTTTTTTGAACTGCTCTGGCCTCTCCGTCTCGGAACGAAGTTAAGAAAGGAAGAAACAGATTCGAGGAAGGAGGAGGGCTCTGCTATAAAACCCGGCCCAAACAGGTCCCGAAATCATAATCTTTATATCTAAATAGTAAGTGACTCAGTAACTAGTCTTATGGATGATGATGAGGGGCCCTGATCACGCAGGATTTCGTTTCACAGTTTCCTTCAAACAACATTAAAGGAGTCTCCTCAAACCAAGGAAAATGAAAACAGTCGAGAACTCAGAGAGACTTGGAAAACAATTTGTATGAAACAAGTCCGAAATCCAAAAGCACACCTGATAAGCATAAGCTCCCGGAAGAACAATCCAAAGTGATAGATATATACCGATTTCAAATAGAAAATGCGGACATGATACGTAATCAAACCATCCTCCATAGCAAATTCCATGAGCGTAGTTGAAAATCAGCCCTGAACCTAGAGATGCTAATATTATTTAGGCTTTACCCCTAGCATTCACTAAAAGACATGCGGTACCAGGCTTTGCAAAAAAAGGTTTATGGATAGGTGAACAACAAACCATCAGGTGCTTTCCTTAGCGCAGCAATTTCTTTAGAAATCAAGTGTTGCTCTCGGTTGCAGAAAAGGAAAAGTACCACTCCAAACCACTGCCACGGAGTTATCTCAGACGCGGAAAATACAAGACCTTGAATTATGGATTAGATTTAACATTGCTCACATATTAATTTGAATCATTTGAAAAAAGCAATTTGAAAACGTCTGATGGTACCTTGTTAACTATGGATATTACGAAACACAAGAAAATTCGCGAGAGATTGCAAATTCTGCGGTAGATATGATCAATCACAATGAATAAGAGTTTTCAAGCATCAAGTAATTGGGTGGAATCATTAAGAGCCAGCAAGTTAACAGCAGCCAACAGCTCTGCTGTTCTGCCAATGATACTCACTTTTCCTAATCCTGTTTCCTGTTCCGTGGTTTTTGAAACTGCATGAAGTAAAGCTTAGAAAATTAGGGTAACTAATTTTTGATCATCACTCTCCAATGAGTTCTTTCATACAGATCAGGTTAAATACGGTACAGTACGGAATAGGGAATCCAGCAAAACTATCAAAAAACGACAAAAACTGGAAATCTAGAAACCCCTGCTTGCTTTGTCTACTACACCGAGGTAAAACTCAAAAGACAGAATGCAGAAGATTTAATTCGTCCCTGAATAAACCGAAGAAAAGTCTTTTTCTCAGCCGTACACAACCAATCGCTCATTCAGACCAGCTGATCGCATACATGTCAAAGCTGCTGCGAATGTAAAGCGATTCAGAAAACCCTAGCGCTGTACAGACATAAACCAACCCATCGTCTCGCCAACAGCAAAAAGTACTTCCGCCCTATTCTAAGAGCTCGCAAGCAGCCGATCTTTGAAGCTGTCGTAAGAGAAGCGAAAATTAAGCTTTTCGCACCACTGGATGTGTTTTTGGAGGGAATTCCGGCTGCGTGCAGCCAGCTGTGAATATGTCGAGAACTTTCTCACCATCAGCACACATGGCCAAGTGATTCATCCTAACAATAACACAACACTACAGCTGTAACAGCTGAGTCTTAAGAATTTTGGAATGAAAATTATCAGTTAATAATTTGACTTCTAATTAGCTGTTCGAAATGTTGACACTATAAATCTTCATTTTCATGCCAGAGGATACCAAATATTCGAAAAGGAATGCAGCTGTCAAGAGAAAATAAACGTAACCAAATGAGAACATGGCACGAACGAAATAGGGGCGATAAGGGAGACGAATACGCTCTTCTGAGAAATATAAAAGTGAAAATGCCGAAGATCAGTGACATGTCTTTAAAAGTGGCCTCAAAAAAATAATAATAAACAACACTCACCTTGCCTGGAATTAAAAAAGCCTCTGGATTCACAGACTATACTCAGAGGTAATATGGTATAGTGAATGATCCCCACAACGTAGTGAAATAGGTTCATTGTCGTATCCGAGTAAACAGAAATGCAAAGCTAAATGGCGTATCGAATGAATGAGAGTATGTCTGAAAGCGTTAAGTCAAAAATAACGAAAAACTCACAGACTCCCAAAGTCTTCGTACAACGTGGAACAGCACTAGACTCAAAGCAAGAATCGTAGTGGACCAATTATCTAAAAAAAGAAACAATTTTATTAATAGAGATGCTAAAATATACGGCAAATCCGAAGTGGTTCAGCTTATAGGCATCTTAAGCAATTTCACTCTACTTCCAACTGAACCATAGCTATCCGATCAATACCTTTAGCTCGTCTTGAGCAGAGAAGCTTTAAATCGAGTGCTCCAATCCACCCAGACCTATTTCCACCTATGGACGCAACATACTGGCTTCAAGACAAGTCAAACCATTAAGCGCACTTCCTATGTACTAATACCACTGGACAATTATAGTGTCATCTAACGGCCCACTTTGAACATCAAATTCCTTGTCCATGCAGCCATACCGACTCCCAAGGTACGACTTCCCTCTCAAATACTTTAAAGTTTCTGGTTGCCTTCGGCAATTGATTCTAAACTACTCCTCAGGACAAAAATTCCAAGAGAGACTGGTGTCAGTGTGACAGAATCGGATTATCCAATATTAGCATGGTCTACAGCTATCTACAGCTAGCCTACTTATCTAAAAGACCTATCTAAAAAATAGCCTACATCACAAAAAATGGCTTGGGTTTGATCCTCGCAGCAAATTAACAATTATCATTTATCACGAGCTAACACTCTCATACCGCGGGTTTTCTCTCAGGGGTGGCAATAAAAATGTATCAACTCAGTGTTTCCCATAAATCACACCGAAATTTGGCAGTATCGCAAAATTTATAAAGAAAAAAGAAACCGTATTGCTGCAGTAGGAAATGCTTGACTCACGATGTGGTTTCACTGGAGTAAGCTCCATAAAAAACTTTTTCAACGTATTCGTTGGAGCTGTCATATCATGTGAAATAGCACCGCAGAAAAGCAACCATGAAGCTACCCAAAACGAGCCTATCAGGTAAAAATGCCAAAACCATCTGAAACGACAGACCTCAAAATTATTTGAAACTAACAAAAAAAAAACGAAAGGTTCTCGAGCTGTAACCCAAAAACTAACAAAAGAAAGCGAAAGGTTCTCGAGCTGTGACTCAACCAAAACGACAACAAAAGACTCACTTTTTTGGAACGGAGATTGCCTGTATAAAATGGATTTTATCTCTGAGATAGAGAGCTGAAGCACCATAGGTTGTCAGGGCTGGTACAATGGCTGGACATGAAGGGAAGAAAAGAGTGAGCATGCATGCCAAGGAGAGTCCCAGTGTTACACACACCAAATAAAACGGCAGCAATGGCACCATTGCCTGGAAGATCCTGATCATTCCCTGAATTGATTAATTGGGAGACAATCGCGAACGAAATAGAGAACGAAATAAAAAAACGAGGAGTATTTCATTAAGATAACCGAGAAACCGAACTGAAAACAAATGCCCACATCAAGCTGACATAAGATTTTGCGAGATCTGTGGTTGAATGGTACCTGAGACTTGAAGAGCGGAATTACAAAAGTCACTAGAGCCAGGGATAATGGGGAAACGCTTGTAATGGAGAGCTCGGGGAGAATATCGGCTGTCAAGGCCTCCAACAGCGGCCAAGATATTGAATGACGCTGTTTTTTATAGACTGGCAGGACACTACAAAGTGCAAAAAGCCACATACGAACGACAGGGCGACAGCGACAGGGCGCCCGAAAATGGGGTGGCCCGAATGGGGTCTCACCATTCAAATTCGCACATCTACATACTGCATTGGTTGAACAAAGGTAAATTATATTGACCAAAAGGCACTTTTAAAGTATTTCAGAATACTGGAAAGTGCAAAAACCACATGGACAGGGCACTGCAACAGACACGACTAGTGGAACTATTCGTCAATCTAAATAGAAATTCAGCGTATAAAACCTACACTTAGTTTTCTTAAAACTATTAAACTTCATGAGGAAATAAATTGCCAGTACCTAAGGACGGTGGTGGTGTAGTGGCATGTGGCGCACTATCACACAAGCATGGTCACGGGTTCGAATCCCGTGATCGATATCCGGCTAGGCAAACTAATCATTGCATCACTCCGGAATCGGTCAATTGGTACCAGACTCGTCTGGGAGGACAAAAGCACTGAAAAGTACACCGGCTGGACACCGCAAGTCATTGTATAGTCGATAGGCCTCCAATACGCCACTAAGATTCTGAATTGAAGCCGAATGCGGGGCGCATCCTTCAGACGGGATTGATTGAGACCCAAATGCTTTTAAATCATATGGACACCGTTAAGCTCTGGGGGATCACCGACTTCAAGTAGCTGCAGGAACTGCCGTTTACTACGGTCTGAACTAACCAACAAATTCTTTGAACTGGAAAAAGAAAAAACGAAAAAACAAAAAAAAAGAGGGAAAATGAAAATACTCGCAATACGTTTTAGGATCACACTTTTTTCAAGAATAAACAATGAAGAGTTTTAGTTTCGAGGAAACCGGCGAAGATAGCAAGCACGCAGGCAGGCTGTATGAATCACACAGTGCAGGTCTGTAGACGTAATCGGTCTGAGAAAGTAAGAAAAGTTAAATGAGAATGAATGACAAAAGCTGAAAGTGAACGAAGCATTAGATTCTCAAGGGAAGTCATAAAATGTGGTGAGTCGAAAAACGCTGACAGAAGGGGGAGAAAGGGAATCGAAGAAAAAAGTGGAAACTCAGAGCTGGAAGAGATGGATGATTAAAACAGGCCAAACATTTGTATGAGCAAAACTGAAGATGAATCAGCTATGCTCCTTTTGAATGGCAACAAACAAGCAAACAAACAGAAGAAAGGCACCAATCAGAGGGTTAGATGAGCAAAATTATAAGTAGGTAATAATATTAGCGTCGATAGTTTCTATGAGAGCAGCTACTTTTATTTCTAGATGACCCGGAGGTTCCAAGTGGGACTGCAAAAAGCTGGAAGAAACATAAACACATGCAAGTGGAGGGTTTAAAGTGGGAGGATAAAAGTACGGCTGAGAGAGAGAGCCAGTGCATCATAAAGATGGATGGGAAGAAACAGGGAAGATATTGCTGATCAATGCCCGAAATCAAGAAACCAATCCCTTTGCCGCGTGCCGGATTTCCGTCTAACTTCAATAAGAAGGATCTAGGGACGAGAAATCTGTAATGTATGATAATGTATGATACAAAACAAATATGGATGTATCAAAGAAGATAATGCAAAGGATAACATGAAATGAGGCCAACCGGCTGGACAACAGCTGAAGGTATGAAAAACACTTGCGTCTGCCAGCTATCCAAAGACAATTCATAACTTAAAGGAAAGGTTAGTATAATTATAACAGATCTCATACATATATATGTATATATATTTACATATATACCCGTAACACACAAAAAAACACAAGCATATAACATTGATACACAAGGGCATCTACACAACGGACCATTTTCATAATTTGATTTGTATTATGCCTTCCAACCTCTTTTCCAAAAAATTAACATTACCAGAAACTGGTGAAGGGTATAGTAGATCGTTCTTTTTGAATTCTAAGATGAAAATGTAGTAGGTAAGGGGGCATTCCTCTCCATTATGACTAGGCGCTGAACCACATGCCCATTCCCAGAGCCACTACGATTCTAATGGAAGTCGAATGCGGGGCGCATCTCACAGACGGGAATGATTAACACATTAAGACTTCCCTTTCAACTCATAGCTATTAAAACACAAAACTTTAATAAAAAAAACAAACTAATCGGAACTTTCAACTCATAGCTATTAAAACACAAAACTTTAATAAAAAAAACAAACTAATCGGAAGAAAACCCCGATGTTTTAGGAAATTATCGCAATAGAGGAAATTGTTGATCAGAAAAATAAAAAAGTCTGCAAGGCCAGATTGGAATCGACTGCTTCACTCAGCATTATGGTAAAACTACAGAAGATGGTCACCATGATAAGAAAGTAGTATGAAAAAGCGAACTTTGAAAGCACTTACGCAATAACTAGGATGTTTACTGCAGTTATTTGAAGGTTATCACATCGGGTACTTGGGTCGAGCTGTTTGGTCGACAACATAAGCACACAGCAAAGTATATAAGCTCCTCAATCACATGTGGGCAAGGGAAAGATGAGAAAAAAGGGAAAAATCGAAGGGAAAGGCGGCTGCACTCTGCCATTCGATCGATACGAGGGCAGCTCTGTAAATATGCCGATGACGCAATGGCAACATTTACATGGGAACATTTTCAGTGAGCGTGGGGATTCCCAGTCAAAATGTATAAGTGGGTGATATCCATTGTTTACATAAACAACTAATATCCTATAAATTAGGTAACTAACTGGTAACTAGTAGTTTTGCAAGCATGAAATGAGTCATTGCTTTGCAGGCGAACTGATAAGTGCAGGAATTCCAACCGCTTGGCCTGTTATCAGTTTTACGTCTACCGAAGTTAATTTTCTAAAATTAAACCGTCTCGGTGCAACATAGAACGCGGAAGTAAACAAGAAAATAAAACAACACACGGGGTTAAACCCACATGGTATAAGTATTTCAGAGAGAGAGAGAGAGCATTCGCAAGATCTATAAGGGTGGTTATAAAGAATGAAAAAGACGTAATCATCGTAACTATTTGCAAGAAATGCAAAGGTGGTGTAGTGGCAAGTGGCGCAATACCACACAAGCACGGTCACGGGTTCAAATCCATCGATATTCGTTTAGGCCGTCCGAGCCTTCTACCCCACCGTGATCGGTTGATTGATGCCAGATCCGTCGGAGAGGATAAAAGCACTGATTTTCACATAGGCTAGCCACCGCAAGCCATTGTATAGGCCACACACACACTCAAAACGCCACTACGATACTGGATGGAAATCGGATGCGGGGCGCATTCCAAATGCGTAATGGATAGGCACCAAAAAACTTTATTTTTCTTTTAACCAATTTCAATGGCAAGCAATATAATGTAGAAGATTAACCTAGACTTAGGTGATCCCAAAGAATGGAATTTTCGTAGACATGACCCTGCAGACGGTGCGTGGTCAAAAAAGGCATCGCATTGCATTCAGACTTGGCTTCAGTAGGGAGCCGGGTAACGGGACTTCTCGCCGAATTCCCATGGCAAGCGGCAAAAGTCTCGCGGCGGCTATCCAATCATTCCACTGAAAATCTAAACCTTTCCCTTCATAGCGCGCGATCGGGTACGCGAGTGCGACGTCGTTTTCGGGGAGAAGATACCGGACTCGTAGGGCGCTTATTGCCAAGTCTGAATGCAGCCACTCTGGTTCTTTTGCACTGTTGCGGGGCTAGCACTACGCGATGCAGTGCTAGCCCAGAGTTTGCATAGATTTCTTGAGATGACCCTCCCTCGGTGGCTGCTTTCATAGTCCACGATTTGGCGAGCGAGCGACCGGTCACGGACCTATCGAGCGAGCGACCGAGCGACCAGTCGCGCGATCGGTCGTTCGCCGAATCGTGGGCTATGAAAGCAGCCGGTCGTGAATTTTCCGACACATGCTTAATGATGAATGAAGCGAGTTGTGAACATAGTTGTAAAGAGGTTTGAAAGGAAAAAGCCTTTTTCTTCTCCAGCGTGCTACTCCGTTTTCTTCAAAGGAGCGCCACAAGAAGAACCTCATTTGTTCAAACTCTTCATCTCAGCTAACGGACAACGCCCTTTTTCGAGCCTTGCCTTAAACAATCCGATCAAAATTGGTCACTCACATCTTTTTAAATAAATATAGCATACATGATCGTGATGAATAGAGGACACCTCTAGATTGTCGGCTGCCAAAAGACTATTCAGAGAACTGAGACGTTAACCCTAAAAAAGGTCACAGAAAAGCAACTCAATTTCACCACGTCGACGTGATCTTTTATTTCCAAAATTTTAAATTTCCCTCATGACTCATCGGCTGCTGTTATAGTCCACGATTTGGCGAGCGACCGATCGCGCGACTGGTCGCTCGGTCGCTCGCTCGATAGGTCCGCGACCGGTCGTTCGCCAAATCGTGGACTATGAAAGCAGCCATTGACTCACTAGGTTCTATTCAACAGGTTTTGATTTCTAAAATTTTCAATTTCCTCCATGGCTCATTGACTCAGTAGGTTCTAGGACGGGTAAAATACAATAAAAAATAACTTTACAATCGAGTGCAACAACATCCAAAAAAGAGACCTCTCTATAGATGTAACAACGTGAAAAAATCTTGCCAAAAGACAAAATAAACCAAAATTGATCTCTCCGAACTGTACTCTGAGGTAAGTTACTACGTAGGAAATGGAAGCAGGTAAGTTACAGCGTAACAAGAGGAAGGCCGTCAAGGGCAAAGGGCATCGTTCA